CGAAGATCGTTTCCGAAGTATCTAAAGATAATTTAAGGTAAATGTGCATCCTTTTTCCCGCAAATTGTTTTTGTTTCTCTTCTCAAAGGTGTTCAGAGTTCCTGAAAGTTTTGCAACCTGAATGTTAAAACAGAAAGTGAATTTTTATAAAAATTTTCGTAAAAATCGTCTTGTTTGGTGTGTTTGCTTTTGAAGTTTGTTGACTTTCATTCGTTCGACAATTGTAACATTTCAATAGTTTTCAACCTGTTCAGGCGACACAGTGGTACCCCAACTTCAGATAGCATGAAATCAGTAAAAGAGTCTTCTGAAAAGGTGTTGAAACGCTGCGCTGAGAAACGATCTTCATCGGTTGCAAAGGCAAAGGTGATCGACGCTTGTGTTTCTCGCTGAACAGTTGTTCACTTTTCAGTGATCAATTTGCTTCGTAATTTGCAGTTTTCAAATAGAATACTAGCAGTTTGTTTTGCTCTGTGATTTCCTCTGTAGATTTAATTGCTGTCGAGAAGCAATATTGCAGATTATTTTTCCAGGCGATCTCAAAATCGAATGCTCTTCTGGACGATTTATTCAAAACCTTCATGGCACCACCTTCAAAATCAGGTTATTAATTCGCTTGCGATTTATAAGTCATTCTTTTGAATTTCTCAAATTTTTAAAACCAGCCTCCATGTTGTCGGAGCAGATGATTTGAACGTCGCTGATAATTTCAAGGAGCATCTTCGCACAAGGACCCATCGCCACCAGTTGAAGTAAAACCAAAGAAAACTGTCGCTTCGGGCGTTAACAAAAATCGTAAGAACCTGCTGATTGGTGGTGGTCATTCGGCCAGAGGTAACTGTTTGCGGTCAATAGCACTTTCAGAGTTTCATTTTAATCTTACCGTAACGGATTGCATTGATTACATGATATGGTATTTATTTATGATGGAATCAAAAACAGTGTGTCTCAATATTGTTCACATTAATTGAATCTTATTTGTATGTTTTAATTGAACTGCTCTAATATTATTCAATCATTTCTAGCCAACAATATTCTTTTCCTTTCTTTTCAGTCGGTATGGTACTGGAGAAGGCAACACGCATACGTGCCAGATTTGAGCATGAAGAGCGACTTCGTAATGAGGGCAAAGGATCGCTGAATCGAGCTTCATCGGCACATGACAGTGCACAACAGGTGCGTTTTTTTAACCATCAGAAGTGATATCCTTATTATGAAGAATCTGAAAAAAAACTTCCATCGCCATTCGTATTATTCGACTTAATTTTGTCAGTCATCTTCGTAATCGAGCTGGTGGAATTCTGTGTCTAATTTATTGTTCAAGATAAAAGTAAACTGCATTTTGTGGTTATTAACATCATACAGATTTAACATATCGCTAACTGTTGATCAATGCAACATTCAGTAGATCCCATATAGTAAATATGAGTGTAATTTCACTCGATTAATTGCTTTTGTTAAAGCCATCTTCTTCATCGTCCACTTCGAACGATCATTATGAAAATCGCAAAACCGTTGAGGGCTATTTGAAAAGTTTTGGTGGCAAACTTGGTGCTTCATCATCGAACACTCAACGACTGGACAAGGTAAATTATTCAGCCGTGTGTTATTCAGATGATACAGTTGTTTTTGTTTTTTGAAACTTCATAGTGGTTCTTTGGTTGGAACATTCAATGTTTCTGCCGACATTCATCAACTGTGATGATTGTTTCTTTTCGTTATTTCTATCCAGTCAGTAATGGTTCGATGTGGTTTATAATATATAGCATTCATTATTTAGTGGTCGTTGACTATTTAATGCAATTTTGTTCAAGGATTCGTCGGCTTCAACGAATTCACGCAAACGTATTTTGGATTTGCCGATTCCGAAGACGATAGCGTTGGATTTGGTGGGCGAAATTCTCGCACCGAAGCAAACTCAAGTGGAGCGCTATGTGCCGACAAAACCGACTGCGCAACAGAACCAGTCAGCGTTCTCGTCAACATCATCCGGAAACAGTCCGTCGATCGGTGGCCCTCCAGTGGCTTCATCGTCACCGATCGCATCGATGAATTCTGCCTCTGACGATGTCGGCGACGATAGTTCCACTCGAATCAACTCAGCGTCGTACACTCCTCAGAGCCAGAGCCGTGATTTGCAACAATCCTCAGTGGCGTTTGCTTCGACCGGTTCGGCTTCTTCATCGTCTACACCAGCCACTCCATCGAGCTTGTTGCAGTCACCTCAAGACGGGCAATCCTCCTCGAGTGCGTCTACGATTCACAACTCTCACTCCGCTACCACTGCTCCATCATGTGCATCCAAGAATGTGAACGTGATTACCTCCTCGTCTGCTACATCAGCTAGCTCGTCACCATCGTCAAGCGACTTATCCGCTTCAGCCACTCCAACCTCAACAGCAACAACTGCCAAAAAGCCGCGTTTGGATGGAAATGCGATAAGTAACGTGCTGAATGCTTTGCATAATCTACGTCGTTGATTACAGTTGTTGAAACGATTCGCAGTCGTATTTGGTAAATTAATACTCTGATGTGAGAAGCGCGGTATATGAAATGTTGCTAGCGCAAAACAGTTAGAGCTAGAAATCCGACCCGTCCTGCACTGGTTGATTCCGGGATGGGACGGACCGTTTGATATGATT